ACAGAACTCCTCGCCTCTTGTGTCATCTTGCCCAAGAGTGCCAACCCAGGGATTTGAGCGAGAAACAGCTGAGGAATGCTGAGGGTATCCAAAGTCGCCAAAAAATAGCTGGTTGCTTCGTCGGAAACAGCTCTGCAGCGAGGGGCAAGCCTGAACACTTGATCCTTGTTCGGACCCAGATGGGCTGAGCGTTCCAAACGGTGCCGACGGTTTTTTGGACCCTGCTTTAGGCGCCCAGGGACGTGGTCAATTTTGCCACAGGAAACAGATCCTGACAGATTGCGTCTCAATTTTGCCACACCACGCGACTCGGCCCTTTGTCACGAGCACCATCAACCCTTCTCGCTTTGCTTCCAAAGGATCTTCCAAAAAGACGTCTCCCGGTCTCCCGGTCTCGGCTTTTTGGTCGCCGAAAAGACCCAAACGTCGTTGAGCCAAACGCCGGGGATTTCGAGCCAAACACCGGAAACCCAAGGAACGGAGCACGAAAACCGGGTCGTGCTGGGTCACGAGCTGGGTCCACTTCACCCACCAGGTGCTTTTGGTTCGGAAAGGTGTTCCCCTGAGCAGCCATCTCCAACCCTGTCTTGGGGCTCGACTGCAGGTGGCCTTGGAGGGTCGCGACACGAAAGCCAAAGTCTTCGGAACATGTCTTGAGAGCTCCAAGCAGGGTGGTGATTCTGTGAAATCTCGTGTTAGTCAACTCCAGTGCTCACATCGAAGTTTGATAGCTCATGAATCCCCGTCTGTGAACCTGAACCCTTAGACAAAATGTTTCGCCAGCCGTAGATCCAAGTTCTGCTGGTGTGATATCACCGGCCAAAAGCAACCGCTGCTACCAGGGTCATGCTTTTCTCTCTTTAACTCTTTCGCTGGCAGGCGCCCACCACCCAAATAAAATACCTAGGACCTCGGAAAGGCCAAATACATCGAAGTGAAGCAAAGCAAAAAGAATCTGTTGCTTCCCGACCTCTTCTAGCTCAAGGATCAGAACCTCTCCTTCTTCTCTTGGGCACGGGCTCCAAATAATTGTAGAGCCCCGCCTGAGCAAGACGCGTGATCAACGGCTTTTGGCCAGTCAGCAGCCGCCCAGACATGGATGGCAAAACCTCTTCATACGGTTTGGTGATTTATATATATATAATCAAGAGGCTAATTATGAAGGCAATAAAACACCTGGAAAAGCCGCCAAGAAGGCCACCCAAAGGCGGTTGCGAAACCGGTGGATCCCAAGCGCAGTGCTCCACCTTCACAGGGCCGGGTCTCTTCTCCTTTTTCGGGGTGGTAGGTTCGTTGGATCGAAAGACCAGCCAGATCCACTTCTCCTTTTGAGCGACGAATGGTTCTCCCAAATCCAGTTCGTTTCGTCCAGACCTCGCCGAATTAGGCTCCGAATTTTGGGGGAACCCTAAACCCTACCAAAAAGACGACGCACCCAAAAGACGTTTCTCCGCTCGAAACCCACGCGAATCGCCCCTCGCCTGGGCCTGAGCTCGCTCCTGAAAGGAGAGCACATTCTGCGCCATCTGATATTGCGACCTGTGACGGATGGAGGTCGTTGGGAGTCGGAGGTCGTTGGCCGACGTGACTCCAGTGACTCTAGTGGTCTTCTGGAAACCCAAGCCGTCGGTGCCCATCAGGCCGATCTCCTACCAGGGGCGATCGGTCGTGCGCCGGGGCGATCGAAGATGGCGATCGATGGCCCGATCGGTCGACGGACTGGGATCAGACAAGCACAGTGATGTGGGGAACCGAATGGTGATCCGTCACGTGTGCAATTCATGATCAGCACTCCTGCTCTCATGCGCTCCAGATGTTCTTCAACAGGTGAGGAAAATCTGAACCTCTTGCCGCGCTAAACTTGCACCGCATGCCGACACCTCACCAGCCCACGTGTCTGGCCACTCAGGAGAGGGCATGAGAGGGTCCACGAAACTGCTGAGATAGGGCCTGATGCTCGCGACGGCTCATGGACGCCGGGGAATCCTTCAGAATCAATGCATTTTAGAATACCAATCCCCCTCCAACTACCATCTGAGCGGGTGCTTGGGGTTGGGTTTAGTTCAGTCCTCCTGAGGCCATTCTTCTTTTTCAGTTCCGAACGCCAGAAGGGGAGGAGCTCCACACGACACGAACGATCCTTCTCTTTCTCCGCTGTACGAGACAAAGACAGGTATGTCCGCACGTCCGACGTCTCTGCAGTCCAAGTCTCTGCAACAAGCGGTGTTGCAGCTCACGGTGTTGCCTTTCCAGTACCTCCCAGGCAAAAAAACAAATGAGGGACGGTCAAAACTCCTTACTGTATTCTTCTTCAACAGGAACCTGTTTGAGGGACCGTTGTAGCTCAAATCTCTTTGCGAAAACGGGTTGTCATAGTGCAAACCTCGAAATCGAGAACCTTGCACTCAACACGGACGTGGTGTGCAAACCGCACACCCTGCCAGGTTGCCAAAAAGTCGGATTGTTGAAGGCCTTCCCTACAAGGGTGGCACTTTGGTCCAGAAGAATGGAAGAGGAAAGCATGAACCTGGTTCTGAAAGCCTTATTGAGTAGTGTTTTTGTATGACCAACTCCAGTAAAATGAGGTCTTTGACCTGCAGGGAATTCATGGAAGGAAGCTGTTTTTGCTGCTTGCCAGCAGTTCGGCCAGATGCAAGTTCATCCACAATACGTTCGGAAGAGCAGTGCTGGCCTGATGATAACGCTGCAATTCGAGGTACTGTTCATACCTCAGC